GCATCTTCAAATTAAACCAAACTCTCAGCATCCAGGAAGTCAGTATAGCATAATAATTCATATTGCCCACAAAGTGCTTGAAACAGTGCCAAGCACACCACAAATACTCAATAAATGTTAGCATTTAAGGGAAAGCCCCAGTCTGCCTTTCTTACTTTGAAGTGACATTCTCCCCAACTAACTATGATCTTTTCATTTAATTACAAGTTCTTTCCCACTCTGTGCCTGCTGTTTTCCTCTCTCTGATATGCTTTTTTCTCAGACCCTTCAAGAACTTATGACTCCCACTCATACTTCAAGTCTCAACCTAAATGTCATCTCATTGATAAGGGCTCCTTTTACCACTTTCTATAACTCTTTATTGTATTACTCTTCTCATTTCCTTCATAGTGGCTTATATTTTATAATTACATTTTTGTTTTATTGGTTAAACTCCTTGAACATCATCAGATGACTAAGCATCCGTCCAAGAAATTCTCCAACTGGCAGGAAGCAATGGGTTCCGTGTATCCAAATGATCTTAATATAGGTATTACTCTGCTTTCACATGAAGCTAAAATATTAGTCACTAATATGAATATGTCATAGCCCATGCTGTGACTCATTAAACCTACACCCTTACCTTAACAACTTAAGTGCTATGTCAGTCACCAGTGACTGAAACAGAAAGGAAGACAAAAGAGGCTTGGCGCTTAATTGTTAATGAAATATAACCCTGTGTCCAACAAAGTATTGTGCTATGTGCTGGAAGAAGAGGATCCAGGGTGAGAAAATAAAGGTTATTTCCTCCTTTAAGGTCTTGAATGATATAAACATAAGATATGAGAACCAAAAAGGGGACATTTCAAGCAGGGAATGGGATGGAATGAAGAGTCACCATCCTAATAATAAAAGGCTGATATGCAAATTGTCCCCTCGACCAAGAGTTCGATCGGGAGTTCAACCAAGGGGCAGGGCCGGCTGGCCAATGCCCGCAGCTCCTCCCCCTGGCAGGCCCTGCCCCCAGTCAGCCCCCCACCCCGATCGGGTTTGGGGAAGTAGTCACTGTTAAGGGGTAATTTTCTACCTCCCCCAGCCGGCCCCGCCCCTGACTGGCCCCTATTGGGTCAGGCCAGCGAGCAGCCCCCCGTGCACAAATTTGTGCACCAGGCCTCTAGTATGTATATAATAGTGTATATTTCATCAAAGCTATGATACTATCGAATACAACATGCATCATTATTTTATGTTCCACTAATGAAGAAAAAATTGTTAATAATTGTTCATTAATTGTGAAATACCATCAATAGTAAGATGCCTCTTGGTATGAGAGATGCATCATAGTTTCAAAGATGTTAAAGTTTGAGGAAAAAAGGAAGAGAAGGAAGAACAAGAGGAGGAAAAGAGAGGGGAGGAGGAGAAGAAAAGAAAATTGCCATTTTATTATGAACACAAAATCAGTCCTCCAGGAACCTCAAGAAGTCTCAATAATATGGAATATTGATTATTCATTAAAGTTAGTTATCAGGAAGGGGAGAAAAAGCTACTGAAAAGAATGCTCACAGAGTAGCCCTTGTTTTGTTTCCATTTTCCCTTGTATACCTTCATCTATCCCTTCATTTTTAGTTTTCCTAAATCATTTTCTGTCTCTTAGTAATCCAAACTGAAAATCTTGATTTTTTAAAAATATATTTTTTATTGATTTCAGAGAGGAAGAGAGAGGGATAGAGAGAAAGAAACATCCATGAGAAAGAAACACCATCGATTGACTGCCTCCTGCACACCCTTCACTGAGGATCGAGCCCACAACCCAGGCATGTTCCTTAACCTGGAATGAACCATGACCTCCTGATTCATAGGCTGATGCTCAACCACTGAGCCACACCGGCCAGGCTCTTGGTGTTTTTATAAAGATAAGTTAAATATAACAAAAAGATAAGTCTTTTTGCCTGGACAGTGTGGCAAAAAGTAAGGTCCTAGTAGCATTCTAAGCTCCTGATTCCAGCTATTCTTCAGGCCTATTATAATCTTGTCCTTGGCCCTAGCTGATTGCACAGTGGTTAGTGCGCCAGCCTGTGGTCCAATGGGTCGTGGGTTTGATTTCCAGTCAAGGACACGTACCTTGGTTTCAGGTTCTCCAGCCCTACAGGGGTGTGTGAAAGAGGCAACACTGATGTGTGTGTCTCTCTCTCTCCTCCTTTCTCCCTTCCATTTCTCTCTTCTCCCTTCCTTTCACTCTCTCTAGAGGGGAAAATATTACTTAGCAGAAATTTAAGATAACAAAAGAATACTTTGAACAGCTTTATGCCAAATACTTTAAGTAGATGGATTCTTAAAAAAAAAAAAACTTTCTAAAAACTGAGAAACAGAAACCCTAAAAGCATGTAGAAAACGAATACATACCTCTCAAAAAATACTAAGTCAACATGCCTCCCCCAAAATACTAAGTCCTGACAAGCTGAACAGAAGTTCAACCAAACTTTAAAGAAATAGATCATTCCCGTCTTAAATAAATCCTTTCAGAGGGGTAAAGAAAGATTAGTTCTCAACTCATTCTTTGAGGTCAGCATAATCTGGATACTAAAATCAAATCAGGACAACATAAGAAATAAAAATTATGGGCCAATTTCACTCATGAACATAGATACAAAAATCCTAAATGAAGTACCAATAAACTAAATCCGAATGTATAAGAAAAGATCACTATGATTAATTTGGGTTCATTCCAGCAATGAAAGGGTAATTCAACATTAGAAAATATATCATTGTCATTCACTGCATTAACAGAATAAGGAGGATAACCACATGATCTCATAAATGCAAAAAAAATCATCTGATAACATTCAATATTTCTTCTCTCTCTCTCTCTCTCTCTCCAACTAGCAACAGAAATGTCTTTAACCTAGAGTGTTGATCAAAAATCTATAGCAAACATTATTCATGGTGAAACATACCAATGCCCACTATTCAAAACTTAGGTGGAGCTTAAGAATGACCTCTATTAACATTTGCATTGAATAATGTCCTGGAAGTCCTAACTAGTCTAGTAAGGCAAGAAAAAAAAATGGCATAAGCACTGGAAAGGAAGACAAAATTTGCATTTGTAATACTTTAATAAAATATTTTAATAAGGTTGCTGAACAGAGATGTATATACCAAAAAGCTTATAGCAGCAAATAGAAAATGGAAAGAAAAACAGGAAAAATATATGATTTACAATATTAACAAGAAATAAGGTATCTGATAATTAAATCTAAGATAAGACTTGAGAGATCTTTATGGAGAAAAGATCTTTACTGAAATATATTTTTAAATATAAAAAAAAATAGAAAGATAGACCATATTTAAGGACAGAAAGGCTCAATATGATAAAAAGAATAAATTAGCCCTGGCTAGGTGACTCGTTGGTTGGAGTGTTATCCCATACACCAACAGATTGTGGGTTTGGTTTCCATTCCAGATCAGAGCCTGTATAGCAGGCAACTGACCGATGTTTCTCTCTCACATCAATGTTTCTCTTTCTCTGTCTCTCTGTCTCTCTCTCAAATCAGTAAAAATATATCCTCAGGTGAGGATTAAAAAAAAAGAATAAATTAAATGCATGTGTAGATTAAAAGCAATAGAGATCTTGGGCTCACATATGAGACAAGTCCCATTTTTTAAATAACAGCTTTTGAGAGTTTATTTGAAAATTCTAGTAGAGAAATGGTACTCTGCTCTATTGGGGAAGGTAATCCTCTTCAACTAAGTGTGCAGCTTCAGGAGGGGCACACATGGGTGAGGAAGGAAGGGGAGACTCACCTAGCCAGCCAGAGTAGCCAAATCAACCTGGAGATCAATGGGGTAACAGATTTTGCAGCCATATCTCCTTTCATCCCGATAGCATTCTTTAAATTTTTGCATAACTTGACTCAAATTACTCCTGTTCATAGATATTTTTGCAATTGGCATAAATTTATTATCACTAATTACAAGAATTTTATTTTAACCAAATTGTAGTAATAGCTGATATGGCACTTCAGAATTGACAGCTGCATTAACAAGTATGAATGAAGAGCACATGATCAGTATCTGGCTGAGTTCTATTGCATGTCCCATTGGTTCAAACATCAACCAAACCCATTGGTTCACCATACGTAAGCTCTGATAGCCACTCCCAGAAGTGATAAAATATAGCCAACATTTTACATAACCCATAAGGTTTTGGTTCTTGGTAATTTTCTGTGAACATTGCCAAAACACCATCTCCTTAAAATCCACCTAAAAATGTATACATCTATTCTAAATACAAATTTCTTTTACAAAAAGAAAACAGACAAAACACATTCATAATACAATGATTGTACTGGGCTAAAAGGGTATCCTAGTAGACCTATTTGTAGTTCTCATACATACAATACCCTTCTACACGTGAGACCTGTAAGCAGTTGCCCAGTTTGCACTATCAGATCTGAACTCAATCAAATGTATGATTCTCTTTAGATTTACCTTATTCAAATTTAATTTTGGTTCATGTCAGTTTTGTGATATCTTATATTGCCTCTCAAATTTGGCTTTATTCAAATTTCCTAAACAGAATTAGAAATAATGATCATGTTTTACTGGTTGCTAGACGATAATACTGGGTACCAGGCACTATTAAAAGTGCTTTCTACATATTAAGTCATTTAATCTTAACAGCAACCCTATCAGATGTATAAGACTGCTATCATCATTTCACAGATAAGAAAACTGAGGTATAGAAAGTTTAGTTAACTTTCCCAATGTCACACAAGTGGAGAAATTTAGGGACTCATAACCAGACTCAAATGCAGAGTCTCAGACCCTTAATTACTATGTTATGCTATATTTAAAAGATATAAAATTATTATGGATAAAAAAAACTCACCATCAAAAATGTCTCAGTAAAAGTTAAACAATAGTTAAGCAATATTAGTATCAATACAACTTATCATAGGTTGATATTTCACAGTTATTTAAGAGATTCATGCCCATGATTAAGAGTTTGAAGTTGGACAGACCTGTCTCTGAATCTTGGTTGTGCCCTTTACAAGCTGTGTGACTTTGGACAAGTTTCGTGACTTCACCAAGCCTCAGTTTCCTCATCTGTAAAATGAGAATAATACAAATCTCACAAAATTGTTGTTAGTAACATAATTATTTCTACATTACACTTATATGGTAACTAAACAAAATACAGGAAACAAAATTAAAAGAGGAGGTTCTCAAATTTCCCTAGAAAACAGGGCTTTATTATAATACTAGAGGCCCAATGCACAAATTTCATGCAAGAGTAGGCTTTCCTTCCCTCGGCTGCCAGCACTGGCTTCCCTCCGGCACCTGGGAACCGGGCTTTCCTCGCAGACCCAGCTTCGTCCAGAAGGACATCCGGTCTAATTAGCATACTATGCTTTTATTATTATAGATAACAAAGAAGACTACTGTAAGTCATTGCAGCAAACTATAAGATCCACACACTAATGTAGAACCACAATCTCCTATAATTCATAACAAATAATTCACTTTCAGCGGTTCTCAACCTGTGGGTCGCGGACAATGAAAATACATCCTGCATATTAGATATTTATATTACGATTAATAACAGTAGCAAAATTACAGTTATGAAGTAGCAACGAAAATAATTTTATGATTGGGAGTCACCACAACATGAAGAACTGTATTAAAGGGTTGCGGCATTAGGAAGGTTGAGAACCACTGCCTTAGATAAAAGTCAAATGGCTAGAGATAAACTACTGGATCTTGGAATATAAAATACTGTATGTACATAATAGAAAGAGACAAACAGATAAGACATTGTTGTTTGTTCACAACAACTCCCACAAATCCCATTCCACACATATCCTTCTTAAGACCAGCAGTATTCAAGGAGCTCAAAATAGGAAGAGCTACGTCAAGAAGAAGCAATTCTTAGCATTGGTAGGAAGCAATTTTTATGAGAGAAAAACAGAAAGAAATAGCATGTCATCCAAGTATGGTAGAACTATCATTACCTCCGAAGAGTGATTATGTCTATCATACTTGACATTTTACTAGTCAAAACAATCTAAACAGTCATTATTGCTGTCTTTAGAGTCTCAATCCAATAATTTAAAAATAAATAATCACATTTCTACCAATGCCTGCACTTACCAGTAATATACCTATTTGTAATAAGGTTAGGTGTTTCTTTGAAGGTGATGATTTTAGAAATATGTTATAAAAATCTTTTTTGAAAATGAAAACACAGAAATAATATTTTACAAAAAATCCTATAGGATAACTGTTAAATGGCTCATCAATACTATTATCAGGGTGAGTTTTTATTAATATCACTAGTCCAATAATTGAGAGACACACAGATTGGTTGCCTCCTGCACACCTCCTGACAGGGGCTAGAGATCAAACTTGCAACCCAGGTACATGCTCTTGACTGGGAATTGAACCTGAGATCCTTTGGTGTGCGGGCCAACATTCTAACCACCGGTCAGAGCCTCACCAATCCTAGCTAATGGAATACGACAAGAAAATAAAATAAAAGATATACAGATTGGGAATGAAGAAACAGAACTGTCTTTGTTCACAAATGTGATATGGTTGTCTATGTAGAAAATCCAAAAGAATTATCAAAAAAAACCCCAAAAAACCCACAAACACCTCCTGGAACTAATAAGCAATTATAACAAGGTTGCAGGATATAAGGTTAATAGAGAAAAGTCAATCACTTCCCTATACACCAGCAATGAACAAGTGGAACTTGAAATTAAAAACATTTACATTAGCACCTAAAAAATTAAATATTTAGGTATAATTTAGGGCAAATCTAACAAAATATGTACAAGAGCTATATGAGAAACTATAAAACTCTGAAGAATAAAGTCAAAGATGAACTAAGGAAATGGAGAGATATTTCATGTTCATAGACTTACTATTGAGTCGAGATATCAATTCTTCCCTATTTGATCTGCAGGTTTAATAAAATTCCACTCAAATCCCAGCAAGTTATTTTGTGGGTACTGACTACTCATTCTAAAATTAAAGCCCCACATAACTATAGTTAACTGATCTTTGACAAAAGAGCAAAGACAATACAGTTGCGGGGAGGGGGACAGTCTTTTTACAACTGTGGCTACAGCATCCTTGGTGAAGGAAGGGTAGGATATGAGGTCAGAAAAAAAGTCAAGTGCTTCATAGGGTTTCATGGAATATTGCAAGTACTGTGGCTTCTATTCCTAATAAGATGAATGCCACTGGAGGGTTCTGAGCTGAGAAATAATGAGATTTATATTTTTAAAGGATCACTTTAGCTACTGCATTATAAACAGACTAAAGGCCTGGTGCACAGATTTGTTCACTGATGGGGTCCCTCAGCCTGGACTGCACCCTCTCACAATCTGGGACCCCTCAGGGGATGTCAGACTACCAGTTTCGGCTTGATCCCTGCAGGCCTGGCCTGGTAGAAGGGTGCAAAGTGGCAGGTGCTAGGGAGGAGCCCAAGCCTGGGCCAGGCACGGCGCTGCTCCCACTCATCCCAGCCCTGCTGCACCTGCCTGCCTGCCTGCCACCACTCAGCAGCGCTGCTGTGAAGGCAGGAGAGGCTCGCGCCACCGTCATTGCGCTTGCCAGTCGTGAGCCTGGCTTCAGGCTGAGCGGTGCTCTCACTGTGGGGGCGCACTGACCACCAGGGGTAGCTCCTGCGTTGAGCGTCTGTCCCCTGGTGGTCAGTGTGCATCATAGCAACCAGTTGACTGGTTGTTCAGTTGACTGGTTGCTTAGGCTTTTAT